GATGCTAAGGAGTTCTACTCCCCCTCCCCACCTGAAAAGAACTCTGTTCCAACTGCCAGTTGCCTCACATTCTATTACCTCAGTTCAAACTGGCACACGTTCCACTCCTTCACTCAAGAGCGGTCTGAGGCTCCTTACAGTACTAAACATTGGTACTTCACCAAAATGTCTACCTTATTTGTTTCAATCACCGACCACCACTGAGCCAACAGATAGTGAACCGAATTAATCCTGCATAGCCCAATCACATAGTTTCAGCGTAAAGCACAGGTATCCAGCTAGTGTTATATAAAGCAGTAGACAAATTTACATTTTGAAGTTTTGTAATTGACAAATGAATTCAAATGCTACTTCTCTCTCTCTCTCTCTCTCCCACTCTCTCTTCCCCTCCCTGCCTCCCTCTCCCTCCCTTACTTTCCCCCTCTTCCCCTCCTCTCTCTAGAGAGGTGAAATCAGTAACTTCCAGTACCTGATGCACTTAAACACTTTGGCGGGTCGATCCTATAATGACCTTATGCAATATCCTGTCTTTCCATGGATCCTTGCTGACTACGATTCAGAGGTAAATACAGATTCTGATGCATGGTGAAGTTGAAAATAAGTCTATATTTATTCCTAATAAGGGCTAGAAAGCTTTTTTACTTATTTAGTACATAATAGCAATAGCGCTTAGACTTATATACTGCTTCCCAGTGTTTTACAATCCTCTCTAGGTGGTTTACAGAGTCAGCCTATTGCCCCCATCAATCTGGATCTTCAATTTACCCACCTCGGAAGGATGGAAGAATAGCATCTATATATTTGAAATTTGATCCTTCTGCATTTATTCTAAATTCTGTGACTAGATATAACTTGAATTGCTGCTAGAAAACAAGAGTAACTTACATTGTCTTAAAATGAGATGTTCATTCTTAATTGATTACCCTTCACTGTTAAAATGCACTGTATTGTTAATTTTAAATAATAAAGTTGCTGATTATAGTTATAATTATGTTATTAATATTGTTAGTGACTTAATTACCAATTCATAGTGAGATTTTGAACTTAAAGAGTGCTAGAGATCCAATAGTAATGAAGGCTCCTGTCAGAGAATTACTGTAAATCCAAGATGGATTTGTCTGGCTTATCAGATATGGTTGCAGTCTTTCTCTAATTAATGGCTTTTGCTAATCCTTGTATGGTTTTTATTTCCCCTTCTTTTCAAGGAATTGGATCTTAACAACCCAAAGACATTTAGAAACTTGGCCAAACCAATGGGGGCCCAGACTGATGAGAGATTAGCTCAATATAAAAAGCGCTACAAAGACTGGGAAGATCCCAATGGTGAGTTCTTAGCCTGGGAATTTGTCGACTGTGTGAATGTCTGCATGCAATTAGTCCTCGACTCACAACAGTTTGCTTAGTGACAGTTCAAGGGCCCTCTGTGAGAATAAAAGTGGTATTACCATATTTTTCAGAATTTAAGATGTACTCCCCCCCCCCTTTTAAAGTGGGTGAAAATTTCGGTGCATCATATAGACTGAATACAGGCCTGTTTTTGAGCTCCTGAACCCTCTGTGCATCGTGTTTTTGCCCTGCCCGGCCCCCAGAAACACACTGCAAGCCAAAAATGGGCCCGTTTTTGGCAGAAACGGAATGTGTGGAGCACTGCAGAGTGCTTCTAGGAGCTGGGGAGGGCGAAAATGCAATGTGTGGAGGCCAAAAACTTTTCTTATTTTCCTCCTGTAAATCTAGATGCGTCTTATAGTCCAGTGCATCTTATAGTCCGAAAAATACAGTAATTGTCAGTTCTTCACTTAGAACATTGTTTTTCACTAGGCAACTTTAAGGTGTGTGGACTTCACGGCCCCAAATTCATGCTGGATGGGGAATTCTGGGAGTTAAAGTCCAAATATCTTAAAAGTTGTCGTGTTTGAAAAACACTGACTTAGAAACTTTTCCAGCCAATTCTTTCCAAATTAAATTTAAAAAGAAAATAGTTTTTAAAAAATGAATCACAGCATCCTAAATTGGTCTAAGCCAAGTTTCAGGGTTAGCCTTTGGATACACATTCTAACAACAACAAAAACACTTCAGCATTTAATATTTATTTACCAGCATAACTCTTCCCCATTCTTTCTCTTGCCATAGATTGAGCTGTATCACACTCTTCCATTATGTAATAAATCGAGAAAAATGAATGAATGAAACTAAAACTGAAATGGTCTATGATTTATAAGTTGTATTTCCTCTAGTTGCTGCTTCTTTTGTGTCAGAACCTTGGTGACGTAAAACATTAAAACAATAGAGAGATAAAATAAATAATATGCTCTCTAAACCATATTAACTGTGGTATAACTCATTTTTTGTCTACATTAGGGGTGTCAAACTGGCAACATCACGACTTTTTTTCTCCTTCGCTAAACCGGAGGGTGACCATGGCCAGTGGGTGTCGCATCTGGGGCGCAAGGCCACGAGTTTGACACCACTGGTCTAAATTTTTTAAATTAAAGATATACAGTTTCCACTTGGTTTCACCAATTTCATTTTGGATTAATTAGGCTTGAGAATCAACCCTAGTAATCTTTCTAATGAGACAGAAAATATGAATGCAGCTTTTAGGGAAATTTTCTGCAGCCCCATTGAAGAACCTCTAAACTAGATTACTTTAATATATTACCTTCTCCTCCCTCAAAATCTCTTAAGCTTATTCATTCCTGAAGCTATTGAAAAGGTTGAGTTTTCATTCCATTCATGCTTTCATTAATATTGTTTTCTTTCAGGTGAAACCCCGGCCTATCATTATGGCACCCACTATTCATCAGCAATGATAGTAGCTTCATACCTTGTGCGAATGGAACCTTTCACACAGATATTTTTAAGACTGCAGGTAAAATATATAGCTTCTTTCTATGTTTTGCAGTGCTTACTTTGCAACATAATTCCCAGCATGCTTAAGTCTCCCTCGGTGCATAGCTCCATGTAGCCATTCGTCACTCTTAAACCTGTTAGGTATTTATTGTGCTTGTTATTTATCATGCCACAACGTTGTGAGTTATGTGTGCGGGCAGACGGTGGACAAATTTGGTTTTAGATGTAAATTAGTCCTGCAAACTTTGGAGCAAATCTCATGAGTGACTTTGTCCTGAGTCTTGACTTATGTCCACAATTGAGCGCAAAATTTCTGTCGCTAAGTGAGACCGTCGTTCAATGAGTTTTGCCTACTTTACTACCTTTCTTGCCACAGTTGTTAAGTGAATCACTGGTCACTGCAGCCATCATAAACATGAGTCAGTTGCCAAGTGGCTGAAATTTGATCACGTGACCATGAGATGCTGCAGTGGTCATAAGTGTGAAACACTGTCATAAGTGACTTTTTCCGTGCTGTCATAACTTTCCTTCATTAAACAAAGGATTGTACTTTGAGAACTACCTGGACTATCCCCAATCAGAAAGTGACACTGAATCCCAAAATTAACAGTCCCTGATAGAACTCTTTTCAAAATATTTTTTTACTGTTTTGAAGTATAGCTGTTTATTTACCTATCAATCACCTGGGTAACACTGTATTAATATAGCACTAGAGGAGTGAATGCTTTATATATATATATAAATGGCTGTGTGTGTGTATCCCAGCATAACATTGGAACGCCTTGAGCAATTTCAATCTAACTTGGTACACAGATGACTTACCCTCTGCAAACAAATACTATGGGGTACGGCATCCCTAACACCCGTCGGGAGAGGGGGGGTGTTCTGTTAAGATACAGCCTGTTGTGCTTTAAAATGGCTTCTACTGTACAGCTCAGTAGAGTTGCTATGGGGCTTCACAGTACTCCACAAGGGGGCTCCCTCTGGTAAGGGGGAAAATCCAACATTAGAAANGTCACCTCATGGCTGCTGCTGTGTTGCAATATTTTGGGGGAGGGCTTATTTTAGCGCATGCGCTCAAAAGCCCGATTGGGCTTATTATCTGGGGAGGTCTTATTTTCAGGGAAACAGGGTAGTACTTTGAAGGCTTGACCAAAATAGCTTCTGAGAGTTTCAGCCAAGGGAACATGCCATCATCGTGCCAACGTTCTTCTTGAGAGTGATTTATCTTCCCCTCATGTTTTCATATTTAATGCCCTATTTTCAGTTTGACTTCTCAAGTAAGGCTCCGGAGACATCTGACGAGGCCATCCCTCAAAAGGTAAAGAAAGAATAAGATACCCACGGGTGGCCGAGTGGCCTTAAAATCTCTCTGCATGCTAGGCAGTCGTAACAAAGCTTCCATGGTTGGCTTTTTGTGTTTTCTTGGTAATTCTGTTGTTATGAAGATTAATGATCTACAGCAAATATACACTTAAGGGGGTGCTGCTGTATTCTCTCCACGTCTTGATTTAATCCAGCGTTTCTCAACCTCAGCAACTTTAAAATGCCTGGACTTCAACTCCACACATAGTGGCTGGAGAGTTCTGGAAGTTGGTGTCCCACACGTGCTATTTGGGGATTCTGGGAGTTGCAGTCCGCACTTGCTGGCTGGGGAATTCTGGGAGTTAGAGTTCATATACGCCGGCTGGGGAATTCTGGGAATTGAAATCCACTCATCTTAAAAGTTTCTGAGTATGGGGAACGCCGAATCTAATACAACGTCTCTTTTAACTCTTTCTATCTGTCCTACACACTAATGGTTTGAGATTGTACAGTAATATCACACTGCCTTTTTCTTAAATAGTTTCAATTTCTAATTCTAAATCTAACTGATTGCCTTAAAGTTCTGTTTAGCTTTCCACTGGCCGTCTCCATTCTAACCTCTAGACTGTCAGGAGGTTCTGTGCGCCGAGCTGGACTTTCTTGAGAACATGTATTAATTTGCTTAATCTTTCCATTCAAATATTTTAAGAAACCCACACGATACCGAAGAGCTATAAGCTATGACAGCAAAGAATATTACATGCGCTTGGCTTCTGTAAACCCAGCTGCCTTTCAAGATGCCATTGAAGAGAGTTCTGAAGGGGAAGCTGCACAACAAGAACCCGAGCATGGCGAAGATACGATCGCAAGAGTTAAAGGTTGCATTTTGTTTTCTGTTCTCCCTCCCCTCCCCTTCCCCCCCTCCCCTCAGATAGGCATTGGTGACTATTTGGCAAGTGTCCTGCTCTAGGCTTCCCCGAAAAGCACAAGGCAATGTCCTGGTCCTGACAAAACCCCTTTTATTAAACGAATGTGAATTCCTCTCATTCACGTTCACCAAGGCCTGGTAAACAGTCTTTCAAAGGAATATTTATGACTACAGACCTTATCTGTCTTGGAAAGCTGCCATGTAAATATTTCCCAAACGCGGTGCTGTGAAAGGAAAGACTGGGCACAGAGTCTCTGTGATTCACGGACAGATCTTCACACTCCTGAAACGAATCTAATGACCAAACGAACGAATTGTTTCCTGCAAAAGCCCACTCCCCTTTTGCTCCTCTTTCGTTTGCTATGGAAGGAGCCTTTCACCTTCCACCTTTTTAAAAAACTTTCATTCTTTAATACTTGGCTTTCTTGTTTATATGGATGGAGGAATCAATCCACTGTTTGCCAAGGCCAAATTTCTAAACCTTTCACATTGATTAGTAGCTTTTACTGTACCTTGTGGTCCAAGTGTGAACCAATCAGTTCACATTTTTATCTCGATTTCTTTTGCGGTGCTCAAGATCTGAAGTCCTCATTTTATACCCCAAGCAGGCCTCTTTAGTAGCCTAAGAGGACAGATTGTGATTTGCCAAGATCATTTACTAAGTTTCATTGCTAAGCAACGCAATGGAACGATTGACTGCCTTTGACCAAACAGCTCTTAGTAAAATTGAGGCGTTGATTTAACTTTTATTGGATCAGCTGTTGGTGACACTGAATTTTTTTCTTCTTCTTTTGGATGTGATCTTTATAGGCCTGGCCATAAATCTCAGAGGGCAGTAAAAGAGACATTTATTTCAGTTGACCTGCTGATTTGCAGCTCTAACTTAGCTGCCATACAAAGCTCGTTGACTGTATAAACATGTGGTTGATGCATTCTGTTATACAATGCAGGTCTTGTTAAGCCGCCATTAAAGAGATCTCGTTCGGCACCTGATGGGGGCGATGAGGAGAACCAGGAGCAGCTCCAGGATCAAATAGCTGAGGGCAGCTCGATAGATGAAGAGGAAAAAACTGATAACACAACTTTGCTTCGACTGCTTGAAGAAGGAGAGAAGGTACATAATGTTGACTTCTGTTCTATACATCACAAGATCTTCTTTCTGAACACAGCAATTTACTGTATTTTTCGGAGTATAAGACGCAAAAAGTTTTGGCACTCTGCAGAGCTCCCCGAAAAGGGCCCTGTTTTTTTCCTTCTTTTAGGAGGCTTGTAGAGTACTCCTGTCCCGTCCCCCCGTCCCCCCCAAAAAAATTAGCAAAAAATGGCCCATATTTCTGCAAAAAATGGCATGCATAGCCTTTAGGAGGCTTATAGAGTGCTCCTGGGGGTTGGGGCAAAACTGAGCAAAAAATGGCCCGTTTTTCGCTCATTTCTGGCATGGCATCGGACCTGGGTACCTGAGAGACCGCCTCCTGCCGATTACCTCNGCCGGCAGTCAGCAGAAGTAGCCTGCAGTACTGCATTCTAACCACTGCGCCACCACAGCTGTAGAAGACTATTTGGTTTCCCACCCATCTCCTTGGAGAGATTTTTATGCCAAAGACATAAGGGCAATCCTATCTGTATAATCTCACCTCTGGTTTTCTAGCTACAATATCTTCTAATTACGAAAAGAGGAAAACTTATTAAAGAACCGTTTTTCCACATCTGTCAGCTTGTCTTCCTCCTTTAACTCATTCAGGCGGGAAGCAGCTCAGAAAAGTGAAAAGAGACAATTGGGGTGAGGATGAGGTGCCAACGAATCTTCTCCCCTGTTCTTTGTCCCAATTCCTACTTATTAGGGAAAAGCTTCCGGGAAGAAACTGGAAAACTGATACGAATGTTATGGTGGGAAAGCCATTTTTAAGCAAGGAAGATAGAAGTTTGGAGATAGATGCCACAAAGTATCTTTCATTGCACAGTTACACAGTGATCACTGGCCTTTTGTCCACAAGAATGCAAAGGAACCCCACACTAAGCAAACACATTAGTTGTGTCTCCCAGAAGTGTTACCTAGGAGCAATATAAATCAAACTAGATTGGAATGTACCATCTGGTAGTACAGTGGAATGACCTTACAGTGATCTGACTCAGTGCCTTCCTTTAAAGCCACATTTCTATAAAGGCTCCAATCCCCTTTTCGTCTACTGATTTAGTATCTTCTAATACAAACGATGCCCTTTATCACACTCACATAGTGTCTTCTTTTATACCAAGGAATAAGTAACCATAAGTCTCTTATAAGTCTCTTTCCCCATCAAGGTCCACAGGCTGTTTCCCCCCCCCCAATTTATTTGCTCTGTCTAATATACATTTCAGAACCATAAGGAAAAAAGGGAGAATTATTTGCCTTCTACATTGGCAACGGGAAGGGAATTGAGTTCTCAAGTGACCTCTGTACCACTCATTAACTTCACCTACAGTGGAAGATAATCTGCTGAAAGTTGTTTTACAGAACTGGCCCTTTCTGTTGATTTAGGGTAGAGGTGGGGAAACCATGGCCCTTTTATGACTTGTGGACTTCAACTCCCAGAATTCCTGAGTCAGGCGGCTCAGGAGCCAGGCGGCTCAGGAATTCTGGGAGTTGAAGTCCACAGGTCATAAAAGGCCGTAATTCCGCACTTCTGATTTAGAATAACCTGCCCTGTCAAAAAAATTAAAGATACCATCTCTTAGAAGAATAAACACAGTTTGATTTTTGTTGCTCAGTATCATTTTTTTTTCTGCTTGGAAATACGTAAAAAGGACATATGGGCTTTCCAGTAGTTTATACTCGGGGCATTTGTTAATTTCTGAGGGAAAGAATTAATAATTTATTATTCACTGTTACACTAAATATATGTATACACTAAATACATAGAATGGAAAGATTGTTTTTTTTAGTAGTAAGCATCTCTTTATTTGCTGACACCATTACAAAAACTGATTACATTAGCAACCCAAGAGAGAGAGAGAGTAGGGAGGAGGAGTGTTTACTTCAGGTTGAAGTTACAAGGCTGCTACTCCCAAACTGTATCTAAGTAAAACAGCACAGGCTCTCAGTGTTAAAATGGTATTTGTCAAGGGTGCGTGCGTTTCTCTCTGTGTGTGAACGAGTTTTATTGAGCATAGTAAAGAGAGCCGAGGTGGCGCAGTGGTTAAATGCAGCACTGCAGGCCACTTCAGCTGACTGTTATCTGCAGTTCGGCGGTTCAAATCTCACCGGCTCAGTGTCACAACCCCTGGTAT